AACTTTGCCCCAGGATGTGAGCAGAAGTTGCGTACCAGAGGTGTGCACATGCAGCAGGAAGCCCCATTAGCAAAAGCGCGCCTCAGGTTAAGAATGGTTTCAGCTTAAGAAGAGACCTCTGGAACGAATTAAGTTCATAACCTGAGGTACCACTGTAGAGCATTAGAGAAGCATTTTTCCCTTTTTTTATTCATGCAGCAACTACACAATGTTTCCTTGCTTTAAAAGGGAGATTTTTAGTGTAGAAGTGCGTAAGCTTTTTCTTCTTTTACCCAGACAATGTTTCCCAACTTATTATAGTTCTAAAACAAACAAATAAATACCTGTCTGCAAAGAAAAACGTAGCTCAAAGTCTTCATGTTTGGATAAATCCACAGTCACCTTGGCCCTTGTTTTTCCTTTGTTCTCAATAAGGAATGGAATTTCTTGGGTAGAGCCAACATAAACCCCGGGAAAGCAAAATGAGTCCTTTAAAAAGAAGAAATAACAAGCACTAGAAAGACCTAGGATGAAGGTAAGTGGCTAAATCTGCTAAAAGCCATATTGAAGAAGCAACATCAAGCTGAGTAGCCCACTGTTTAATACAGAACGCATGACAGTAGTTTATTATTCCATTCATTGCCTCACATTCCCAGCAGTTTTAAACAAAGTGGCAATATCAGCATCAAGATGCACACATGGACCATTTAAGCTATTTAAGCCAATGTTACTGCTAAAATACGTTCTGCTTTATTTAAAATAGCTTCATGTCATCAAAAGGGAATCTTGGGAAACAGCCTTACTTAACTGGCTTACAAGCTAAAGTAGCTGTCCCTTATAATGTAGCAAGCGCACTGACACCAAGCAGGTCTGAGTTAGCACCTAGATGACAGACCACCTGAGAACGCTGTATCAAGTTTCACTGAGGAACAAAGGCTGGACAGAAATGAAACATTTAGTTTACTTTAGTTTATTTAAATTAATTTTGTCTTGTCAGAGTAAAAGCAAGATTACAAGGCCTCTGGACCTATGCCATGGCACTTTGCCCCCAAGGAAGAGCCCAGTCCTTGAGGGATGAGCACTTCTGCTCTCATGTCGAGGATATGCCTCCGGGAGGTGGGAGGGGAGGAGGGGGTTGGCTTTGTTAGGCGCTGGGGAAAGTTTTTGGGGAGAAAGGAGAAGCCTCCAAATTATTCTCTGGTTTAAATTTTGATCTGAATAGTAGAAGAATTTAGGGGCTTAAAAAGTTTCCATCTCCTTTGAAGAAGGTTTTCACCACCGAAGTTTGCAAAAGTTTGCCAGCATCTGTAGATATTTTTGTAAGTAGTACAATGTTTTAGCATAAACACACAGCTAAACTATTCTTTGTTTTCAGCTTCCAAACACCTACATAAAAGCATAATCCAGCCAAGTTAAACACATTTAAGGCCATGCTTAAATCCCCCTATAAAATGAGGACAGAAAAAAGTGCCTTTTTCACTGATTATGCCCTAGTTTACTTATTAGCTTACCTACTTAGTTTATTTAGTTTACCTAGCTTACTGTGGACAAACGCCGGCTCCCTCGGCCTATAGAGCAAGATGAGAGAGCAACCCCACTGTCGTCTGTGAGTGGACCTAACGGTCAGGGGTACCTTTACCTTTTTAGTTTACTTATACAAAACAGATACACAAAATCCAATTCTATGTATCTAATAAAGTAAGTTCAATGAAGAATTTCACATATTTACCGTACTGATATATATGTCAGGAACATCTACAGATCCACCAATCCTAAGTTCCAAATATTTTGCATGCCGGACAGCTATCTAATTAATAGGAAAAAAGATAAGACAGTAACATATTTTGCCAGTATATCAACCTTGCAAAGCAATCTTTCTAATGTGGAACTTCCATGCTCAATTGTATTAAGACAAAGCATTTCAAAAACTGTTTTATAAAATGCAACTGATGATATTGTGATGTAGTTCAGGTGTACAAACAATTGCAAGCTAAGATATCAAATAGTGCAGCCATTGCTGAAGCTAAATTTGTTAGAATGGTTTTTTTATGTTTACAAATTGATGTTACAAATTGATGTTTACAAATTGAGAATATGGAAGACAGCATAGTGGGGAAGAGTGAAGTATGTATTTGGTCTGGAATAAGCAAACAAATCACTAGTACTTGGCCATAACATCTAGTTATGCAAAGGCCATTATCCCAACAAACAGTACTGTCAGGGCTAAGCTTGTCTTTACAACTGGAGTTCAGGAGCGACTCTAGAAACCTTTTTAGCCCAACCCCAATCTCATTACATTCTGGTTTTGAGTTAGAAAAGCATGGTATCGATAGTTTTTAAAAGCCATCCCCTTAGAGAACAGTGCAAATACAACACTCCTGTTCCCTTTAACCATGATTAAAATATGAGAAGAGGGCAGTGGAACCATATGCTCTTATCTTGCATCTCCTCTCCCTGGTATAGGAAGCCTGCCTGGAACAACTGAGCTCAGGTGATGCTTCCTCTTCCTCCCTAGAGGATTAGACTGCTTGATTCAAGTCATTCCTATCTCTGGGGTCTCATTGTCCAAGAAGGATTTCACTAGCTGGGGTCTCCCAGCATGGTTTCCTGATATCCCCCATTTTAATTTTCAGTTCAGTTCCTACTTTGCCACCTTTCTTCGGTCACCCTCTGGACTGGTTGCCTTTTGAGAACTTCTCCCACTCAACTTTCTAATCTTCAGTCAATCCATGCTTTCCCTGATCCTATTTTGAGATTATTATTTTTCAAGGCAAACCATCCCTTTAATCATCCTCAAAGAAGCTGAGGATTCTATTATTGGCCGTTTCATGACATCGGCAGATATAATCTAGATTACTATTTCATTGTATCACAGAAGCTCAGCCAATCAATGCAATCTTAGGCTTCACAGGCATTATCCAAAAAAAAGTACTTGTTTATCAAAATACGAGCATTTTTTAAAAGCCAAGCAAATGTTTTTAAATAGTTATTCAATATGTTAATACCTCCACTCTGCTATCAAATTTCATTAATGCATTGGGTCTGAAATAGATGTTGATTTCAGTGTGGCCTCCAACAGGTACTACACCCTGAAAGGGAGATATAATCATTCCAGGAAGAGGATTGGCATCAATGACCTGCCAAGAAAAACGTGTATTTAAAATTTTAGGTTTCTCTGCAAATATATTCTCACACCTATTTCCAGCCTCCCTGATAAAAATTTCAAAGCAGATTACCAAGAATAAAATATACTAACAATAAATATATCTCACATCCAAAACACAGAAGAATTAAAATAAGCACAAACCAAATGATTCAGTTAAACAAGAGGAATAATGATAAAATGACTTCTGGAATAAAAGGGTTCTGAATGCCTGTCTCATACAATGTGGGAGAGTAGCCTGAAATACCATTTGTGAACACTCCAGCACTGTAGCTTTGGGGTATGAAGGCAAGAACACACAACAATATGCACAATGCTGGGTACGCCTCACCTGAAAGTATGCATGGTTATGTCCTACATTTTGGAGAATGGCTGTCTTGCAGGTAGTCAAATGCAGAGGAGCATGATTAAAGGTGATCCTTTGTTCCTTAAACTGAACACTGGTGGTGCCAAGCTAATATCAAGAAAGAAAACCAAATAATAATAATAATAATAATAATGAATTACCATCAGTGCACTTGTTCCAGCACACATTCAGATTGCCATTACTTCATAGAAGCTAGAATGCAAGCATGAATAAAAATAGACAATAGTTTTTAAGGAAAAGGATGTTAGATTTTTTTAAAAATCAACTGTTTCTCTCATTGAGAATGGTACCTTGGAACACCTGCAGCACCGTTTTATTTTAACATTCCGTAGTTAATTCTGCTGCAGTACAGATTTCATTTTACTTATTTAAAGTTGTCATTTTGAACCAGAGTTAGGAAGCTGCCTTACACCAAGTCAAAGCATTAGCTCCATCTAGCTCAGAATTGTCAATGCTGACAGGCAGGACTGCTCAAACTTTCAGGGAGGGAGGGGTCTTTCCCAGCCCATCTGGAGACATCAGAGTTCTCACCTGGGACCTCCGACTTGCAAAGTATGGGGTCTACCACTGAGCTACAGCCCTTCTCCAGAATCATAAGGAGTCACAGGCCACATGGGAAAAGTACTAGCCATATAGTAAAAGATTACAATGTTACCTTTGCCAAGCATTTTAGTTTAAGGGTTTTCCCCTGATGCACACACAAATCAAATTCTCCTCTTGTTGGAGCAGAGAAACTTGGGTGCCAAGCCACTTCACACTCTAGATCTTGACAGGCATCTACGACACCTAAATTAATAAAGAAAAGGAATATATTACAGCTGCTAAAAATGTAAAGATTATGGAGGGTGACAAGTAATTGAAAAACTTAGCTTAAATCCTGCTCAATGTGAATACACATTGTTAAGAAATACTATTATAGAGTCTGGGCTTCAAAACCACAAAAACTGGCATAGTGTACGAAAGTAAAACCTTAACTTGTCAAACTATTCCACATTGATTAAAAATAGGATCTGAATTACCGGTAATCAGGCAATGCTCCAAAGCCAACCTGTTGTATTTCAAAGACTTAGGCAACTCTGCTAGGTTAGGTAAACGAAGAACAAAAAAACAAAAACCCTCCACCATTTTTATTAGGTGACTGCTGGCCATAGACAGAGGGTAACAAGCCTTTCTGTTTCATTGGCTGCTTTCTGTGGAATGCAGTTCTCACCTTTCCTGATACTTAAAAGCCTTTGATTACCTTGGGGGGGAGGTGGAGACAATAAAAAGGTTGGGTACTCATATTATTCTGCTTAGCAACACAAGCTATAAGATGCTGGACCGCAATCTTAGCTATGTGGTCATGGCTCAAAAAATATACTGAAAGGCAGCACAGTAATTATGACTGGTTAGCCAACTAAGATGTCATTAAGCAAGTGGCAGCCCTAATTTCGAACAGTTCGTCAGGTTAGTAACTGACTCATGTAGTTAGTGTCAGACCACAATATGGAAGACCAGGGTAGACTTAGTTGGTAGAGCACAAGACTCTTAATCGTAGGGTTGTGGGTTCAAGCCCCACGTTGGGCAAAAGATTCCTGCATTGCAGGGGGTTGGACTAGATGACTCTTGTGGTCCCGTCCAACTCTACAACTCTATTAGGACCACCTCTCAATCTAGGCTATTTCACTGTGTTGCTGCAAGAATAAAATGGGCAGAGGGAGAACCGTGTATGCAGCCCTTTTGGGAGAAAGAAAATGTGGTAAGAGAAATAAATAAAAGAGTACCTTAAATACCTGCAAACATATCTGCCCCCAAATTTTGAACAATAGACCTATTCACTTCCATATAGACTTTCCTTTTGAGGAACAGTGGCCAATGTGACAGAGGGCTTCCCCTCGCCCTCCTTCAACACTTTAAATATCAGATTGCAGCATATGCCCATCACATGTTACTTTATTTTATCACTGCTTGAAATAGTCCCATAATATACTCTACCTTGCTCTGGGCATATGGAAAATGCCATTCCTTCATCTGTAATTACAGGCTTCCACGTGAATTTTGCAGGGCAGTTTCTACGATTGTATAGTGTCACTGTTGTTCTAAATCCAGTTTCTGCTAAGTAGCTAAAGGCAGGATTTAAAGTCAGTTCCCTTGTAGACATTTCCAAAGCAACAGGTACTACTAATGCTACCACTAACACATGTCCAGTGTGATGCTGGTTTACTGAATACACGAAAGACCTGTAATGCAGAAGAGATTGCATGTATGATATTAAAATGAAACATGTGATGAAGAAGATCATAAAAACATGTTAATTCAAATATATTTTAAAATACTTTGCAAAAGTATATGCTAGTTGTGACCAAATACTGGAGCATCTTAAAAAACTGGCTTTGTAAATTATAAGACCACTTTTCAGGGGGTGAAATCAGAAATAGTAATCTATTTTAAAACCTGCATTACTTAAAAGGTGTATAGATCAAGGGGAAGTTTTTTTAAATAAAATCCAATGCAAATGCTTTTAAGTGTGCAAAGGATTGACGCCTAAATGTTATATACACATATACATAAACATACATATATATGTGTGTGTGCAGGTATGTATCTATGCGTGTGTATGACCAGGGCCATAGCTAGGGGGTGGCGAGGTGGACCCCTGCCAGGGGCGCAGGCAATTGGGGGGTACAAAATCAGCTAAAAATATGTCCATAAATATCAATTATTGCCTCATAAGAAATGGTGAATTGAATAGGTGGCAGGGGGATTGGAGGAGAGGCAGAAAGAAGAGCTAATTTGTCCATGGCTAGGGGGTGCAATCTAGATGGTTCTGCCAGGGGCGCAAGATCACCTAGTTACGGCTCTGATAGTGACATCAACACACAACTTTATTTGGTTCCTGCCTTTAAAAACAAGTCATGCCATTTTGTCAAGGCAACATGTATAAAATAATTGTGCAAATATCAGCTTGCTTTTCAATTCACAGTTGTACCTCCCCCTTCCTTTTCTTTGTTAAATTTAAAAATAAAAAATATTATTTATAAAAAAGACAAAATGCATAAGAACTCTTTCCTCCCTCAGAGTGCTTTACTCAAAAAGTTATTCCCCCCCCCAAAAAAGTCAAAAAGTTTTACTTTCGAAAGTTTCCCAATTTCTTGTTCTCAAACACAACTGGAATATAAGTCTTCGTAAAAGGTGGAATGACGTGAGACAAAGGGCTGGTCCGTTGCAGTTCCTCACTTTCAATTCCTACTTGTACCCAGATGTGGACTGGGAGATTATTCACCAGATGCATTTTTCTGGTAGATGTAGAACACACACAAACCTCTCCAAAGTCAATGGTAGAGGGGCCTGAAAAGAATGGAAAGGAGATGTGGCTGCAGAATTTTTAAAAATGGCTTTTTTTCTATTGTGAAGAATTAGGATCAGAATTTATAATTAATTAATTAATTAATACTATTACCATATATTCATTTATACCCCAACTTTTTCCTTGACAGGGACTCATGGCAGCCTACAGATAAAAATAAGAACAGCTAAAAATATAGGGGGGAAACAATCCTTTAAAAAGCAATTCAACACTGATATAGTTGTAATTCTATCACTCTATACACACAAACTTAAAATATATTAAAATGGCATGGTATGGCCTTTCTTTACAGTCACTATTTTTAAACCAATACATGATTTTTGTCCCTTGTTGTGTTTAAAGGAAGGAGAAATCTTACCAATGAATATTTGGTGAAGCTGCTTCGGCGTCAAAATTAAACTACAGTCTTCAATCTCTTGTGGCAAAGTTGGTACAGGGTTAAGCCCTTCACCCACCTGTAAAAATGGCCGACAGAATAACCACATAATATTTAATACAGCTAATAATATCTGAATGTGTTAGGCTTTTGTTCAAATGTACTGAACACAGTCCATAGAATCTGGGTAAGCAAATAAACAGGAGGACAAGTTTATGAGAGGAAACATATTCTTGTAGGCCGACAGCTCATTTCCAGGCAAACAGGAAGGCAGAAGGCAACACTCACATGCATGAGATGTTGGGCACTGTTTACTGACCAACATTTCAAAAAGAAGTTTACAATACGCACCAAGGGAGCATGGAAAAGCAGGGTGTTTCATGGTTCAACATTCATCATCATAGACCCTACACAAATTGTACATACTTGTACAACTATTACAACACTATACAACTGCACTGTGTATCTGGGGAAGATGGACAACATCTTCACCAGAGGTATTATTAATAGTATTAAAAGCTGGAAAAAATTGATTCTCCTGCAAAGGAAACACTACCAGAAGAAGAAAGATACCCAGAACCACAACAAGAAGGCAACACGGGAATATTTAATACACAAAATCTTAATCTCCAGAAGTCATTAGGGGGGAAAGAGGCTGCAGCTCCGAGTGTGGAATCCTAGGCACACTTTTCTGGTAGCAATCACACTGAAATTAGCAGGACCATTGAGGAAACATGGATGGGATGAGGCTACACAATATTTTGAGAAGCTGTAAGTAAGCAAGATCATCTTCAAACATATTTAGCTTACCTCTCTGGCTGAAGTTTTAGATTCCATTTCTGCTAACTGTTGACTAGTTAATAAGCTACTTCTTACACAAGCAACCTCTTCCTCCAATTTCTCCTCCTGTAAAATTTTAACCCTTGGAGATTTCAAGCCTGATGCTGGTTTTAACCCAATATCCACAGGATTATTAAGTGATTTAAAGATCCTATGAGTTGGAAGTATGGAGAAGAAGTGACATTCAGCTATGAAGTAAACACACTGCGAAAAGTTACAACATTTTGAGTACATATTTTGATTAACTGAATTTACAAGAGAGAAAAATTTCCCAATGCAAGCACTGATATTAAATACTAACCTACACCAAGTTACCTTTTAATTATAAAGCCTGTCACAGTGCATAGATTTCAAATGTGTCTTCCTCAAATTACTTGGGAAAGATAGATAGATCTCAGAGTCCAATGCAGTTTGTGGAGGAAAGGAGGGAGGAAAAGTAACCACACATGACAAGACAATTAGCTGACACTGGAGGAAGCAGCTGATCACCAGGGACTGCAATCTGAATTTCTAAATGTCACTCACGTGGGATTCATTGTTCTCAAACCCATTCAGGTACGTAGAATTATTCTCAACCTTTAAGTCACATTTCCTATACATTATTCATACTAGGATTTGTAGCTTTTTAGAAAAATGAAGAATAAAACTATAGAGCTGTAAATCTGGAAATTGATTGAGCATTTTTGCAGTTTATTTGGAAACAATGTTTACCGAGCAGCTTTTTTATGCAAACGATGCTGTCTTAAACTCTGAAGATAGCTTGCATAGTAATCCTTATTCACTTGCTTTTCCATTTCTTCAAATAACGTGTAAGAAAATTCTGGATCCAAATAACTGTATCTGGCAACCTTTGTGAAAATAGTCCTAAATGTGTGGAAAGAAATGCAGCCTCAGTAGAGCAAGAGCCATTTAAATGTGCGCTGGATTCTGAAAACAATTCCACTTTTGCTATATAAATGTGCTATTCATACGTCCATTATTCCACTGATCATTACTAGCATTTGACCTTGCCAAGACAACCCTAACATAGGACTGTTGCAATTTGATATGAAAAAAGGGAAATTGTGGGTTGAGCCCAGAGTTCCACTCTGCATTGGAGGTAGGAGGCAAGTAAGCTATCTTTGCAGATTCCCCCTTCTACTGGGCCTCTTCAAAAGCTGCTCCCAAGAATTGGGGGCCCTTGTGGAGCAGCATGCAGTAGCACCGGTGGGATGGCTGGCAGAGAGAATATTGCCCCTTTCTCCCCTGAACAGAAGCCCTTTTGTTTGCACAACCATCACTCTGGAGCCAATCCAATATTAGCAAAATATATTTCAACACAAACAGTAATCACTTGCACTTGAATTAGGGTTCACTATATATTTAATTCACAGGGACAAACATTAAAGGCTACAAAATAAAATATTTAAAATAGCACCCAATCTCACAAGAGATTTCCATTCATGCAATGAATCTTCCCCCTTCCTCTCCTCTTCCCACTGATTAAAATAATCTGGCCTGGGCAGTTAGGGCAGCTATTTGGAACAGATCTGAGGGCACTTGGAGAGTGACATGTGGGAAGAGAGGAAAGGGATGTCCAGTTATACAAGCAAAAACCTGTTGTGCTATACGATGGGCAGTCTTTGATGTCACCTTCAAGGTGATAATTATTGTTATTGTTCGGGACTGGCTAGATGATGAGGAGGGGAGGGAGGTACCAGCTGGGGAACCCCCAAGGGGAGCCCCAAAGGAGGAAGGCTTGGAGCCCAGTGATTGGTGGTGGTGACAGTGGGACACTGAGGAGAGGTCAGAGGGAGACTGGGGAGAGGAATGGTTGAATGTTGAAGAGAAAACAGGCTTTAATGAGCAAAGGGAGCTTGTGACAGGGAGCAGCTCAGACTCAGAGGCTGAAGAAGATGGGGGGTTCCCTCTGTTGACTCCACAAACACACAGGGCAATCCGTAGGGTGGGGTGGGACAGAGATTACGGGTTCCCCAAGGTAGTCTGAAGCTGCTTGGGAAACAT